TGGGTGGGAGGTTATGGTTTGGGGGAGTACAAGGGAGCAGAGGCTGTGGGGCTGAGGCGTTTTAGCCTGCAGTGGGGGCTGAGTGGGAAGTTGTGGGGTAGGGGGGCAAGAAGGGTTTGTGGGGAGGTGATGGGGTGTGGGGCTGAGGTGTTGCAGGTTGTAGTCGGGGCTGGCTCGGGGATGGATGGGAGGTTATGAGTGGGGAGGTGAGAATGGAGAGTGTTTTGAGAGGGGAGGTCATGAGGTGGGTGGAGGGATTGAGATTGAGGAGTGGCTGGGTTGGAAAATGGCTAGAGGTCGTGGTGTTGGGGAGGAAGATGGGTGGGAGGCTTTGGGGTGAGTGGTTTGGGAATGGGGGATAGATTTGAGGCAGGCTAGGGGGTGGTTGTCTAGTCTGGTGGGCAGGAGACTTGGACAGGGACTGGGAGGCTGGGTTAGGGATGAGTGAAGGTTATAAAGTGGGTTTAGGGTAGGCTGAGAGATGGGACGGGTGGCATGCTGGTGGTAACTAGTTGGGGGGAGGTGGTAGTTTGGAGGGATTCACTGTTTTGGGGATGGCTGTGGTGGCATTTTATGGTGTACATTTGGGATGAGGCACTGAGGTGGCAGCAAGTTGAGAGGAGAATAGGTGCTATTAGGAAATGGGGAGGGGAGGGGTCATGTGGGTATTAAGGGTTGGGATGGGGCAGGTGATTGCTTTGGGGAACAGGCAGGCTGGCGACCAGAGAGGGGATGTTAGGCAGTAAGGGCAGGTTCAGGGTGCAGCTGGGAGAGATGAACTGGTGTGGAGGAGATGTTAGAGCATCGAATGGCAGATTGCGGGGGGACAGGTAATGAGGTAGGATCAATGAAATGGTTTTGGAGTTGGGATGGACCGGAGAGGTAACCATGGTGTATAAAGTTGGTGATCTGGGTTTGATGTTAAAGATGTGATGAATGAATGGTGCCTTTATCTGTCTATTCAGCAGTGATACCAGTCAGCCTAAAGAATGGGGCCCGAGTAGGCAACTATTGGATCTCCATCAGTTGTTTCAGAGCAAAAGTGCTAGCAGTCCCAGAATATGTCAGGGCATCTAGGCCTCTGTTGAGATGTGATGTGTGAACAGTGTCACTTTCTCCTACCATGTGGGTGATTTTATCCATCAAGTCTAGAATTCTGTGGAGTTCCTGGTCTTTTTGGGGGGTTGTTTTTTTTACTTCCTTTCCAGTTATTAGCATTTGCAGAACTTGCTGTTTAGGCCATCTGGGTTTTGCCTTTTTGTTTGGTTTTTTTTTTTTTTTTTCCCCTCCTCGTATGCCACATATTAAGACCCGTAATTAGAAACAGTGGGGGGAAAAAAACCTCTTGATAATCTTCAAACATTAGTTCTGTCATATAAATGGAATAACAGGTAAAAATCAAATTAAATTTGTAATTAAATTAATTAAACTGTAATTAAATAAATAGCTGTAACTTTAGACCAGTGCCTATTTTTAGCCTTGCGTGTTCTGTTTGTGCCATCTTTTGTGATTTTGGAGGAATATTCTTTCTTTTGTAGTCATCCCTGTAACAAGCGTAATTTTCTCTCTTTTTAGGGAGCATAAACCAAAGAACATCCGCTGTGCCATTTAACATGACCAGGCTTGTGTGCAAGTCTGGTATTGCTCTGATCCCCATTTCCCTTTGTCATCCTCCATGAGCAGTCCCCCTCCTGTCAAGTGTGACTTGTGAGGATTTGTTATTGGATTTTCAGCCTTATCCACGTGTGCAATTTATGCCACTTGTAATTAGGATAGTTTGGTTTTGCTTTTTCCTCCTGAAGGAATTAGTTAATAACGGATATTCACACACCAGCTTTGGTTATGTGAGCTCAGCTAGCACAGCTTTTCTCTGTAGAAAAGGCCTTCCTCTTTTAAACCTTTAATAGAGCAGGATTCTTGTTGACAAAGCAGGCAGTGAAATGAAAGGACGGGCTGATGTGTGAGAGAGCTCCCAAGTGCATTGCTGCTTCTACTAGTTATAAGAATGTCTGTATTTTTAAATGTTTTTTGAAGTGACGTACAAACTCAAGATGGATAGAAAATCAGTAGATGTCTGTTGATATGAGGGGGGATTGTTTCTCTAAATAAAGATTTTTTTTTTTTTTTTTTTTTGGTGATGCTGGCAATCTGAATGCAGTGTTTTCCAAATGGAAAACAACTTTAGAGGCTGGGTAGTGCATTTTAGTGTAGGTGTAGGTCTTCAAGCAGTTCACAAGGTAAGATTTTTCAGAGAAGGAACATGAATGTGAATTGATTTGTGACTCCATTAGCTAGGAAATAGCTCAAGTAGTGAGCGTGATTATCTATGTGAGAGGGCAGAAGATCTCTGCAGCTGTAAGTTCTTCAGCTTACCCATCTGTCCCTCTTAAGGAAAAAATTAAACATGGGAAATGCTAAGGCTGTTTAAGCAGTCTTAGGCTGAGGTTCTGCTGGTTGCTAAGCTCATCAGTGGTTTACTGCTGCCAAAAGGAGGAGGTCTCACTCCTTCCTCTTTATCCCTGCTCTGAGGCAGGAAGTGTTATTCCCTTTCTATAGAGCACTTTAATTCAGTAACACATTGAAAAACTCCCTCTGGCCAAAACATGAAGAGTTTTCTGTTGGATTGCTGGAAGTGGCTGTGAAAGAGTTTGAAGAGCCCTCACGCTGAACCAAGGTGACTGCCAGGAGCAGTGAAAACATGGCAAGATCTAATCCTTTTGGCAGTGATGAGCTGTTAGTTCAGCTTAGTTCTTGTAAAACTATACCAAATTCCTTCAGGCCCCCTTGTTCTCTACCCATCCTTTTATTTATATCTGTAAATATTACCAGGCTGTCACTTAACAGAGGTTTGACTGTCAGGAGCAGTGTTTGTGGTTGGGATCTTCTGGTAGGTCTAAACATGGGGGAAATATAGTTGGGGGTTAGGAGTGAGAGCTAGTTTCTTTTGAAAAAAAATTTGCTGTAACCTTTCTGCCCTGCAAGGTTGGACCTTGTGAGAACAGACTGTAAAGATGCATCTGTTTCAAAGTACTGTTAAAGGAAAAAAACCCCACAAGTCTCTTCAAAAAATCTTAAGTGATAAATGGAGTTCTGCTACAATCTCATCAAGGAAGGTGTTGCTCTTTAGCAGTGAGCTATATTTGTTTGCCTGGTAGTTTTATGTCCTTGTAAGGCTGGTAGTTGAACTAGACTCTTCATTTCCCACAGCAGACCTTTCTGTGGTTTATGGGTTTTTTGGGGGCAGCTGTATCTCAAGAAAAAGGTATTTTTTGCAGTTGTATTCTGCAGAAGGGAGAGCAGCCACCATAGTAGCTGGGTAGATGGAGGCACACATTTCAGATGTTTTCTGAAGAGAGTGTTTACACTGAAGGCTGCATCTAGATTTGCTAATGTTTCCAGCTCTGTGAGGCTGAAGTAGTTTTCCCTGGTCTAATTGACCTAGCTGCTATCTCATTTATGCTGATATAGCTACTGGTGAAGCCACCTGTAAACCTGTTTATTGCCACAATCTGTCTTAAAAAACCCAACACCCAAACAAAACCCCAAAACGAACAAACAACCCACCCACACACCAAAACCCAAACCCACATTAGGGAGTTGTTTTTAATCTGCAGTGTTTTAGCAGCCTGGTTTATGGCATGACTGTACCTACTCTATTGGCAGTACCTAGGAGAAAAGGGTCAAGTGTCAGCTTTACCACCAGAGACAGAAATGTGTAACTGTATTCTCTTGATGTGGTTCTGCCATCACTTGAAAACAGAAATGAGGTGTATCTTCATGGCCTTTTATCCATGGCCTATCCTCATGGCCCTTGTATCTCTGCATGGACATGGAGTTGCTGGCACAAAGGAGGAGAAGGCTGATAATCCCCCAAGCCTGGCAACAGACACAATGATGTGAAGAACATTAGCAAAGTGGTTTGTGCTTCAGGGGAGAATAGTTGATTTGAAATTCAAATTATTTGTAATTCATTCTTGATAGATTTTTAACTGTTAAGATTTAGCCAAGAAAGTCTTTGAGGAAAAGTTTACATTTGTAAATGACTGCACTAGATTGATGGCATTAGCAGAAGATTTCTGAATACTGACAATGTAACAGGGAATCAACTGGGAAATTTACCTTCTCTGTGAAATGCATGTTCTTCCTGACTGTAGTTCCTTAAGAAAGCTGGGAGACTTAGAAATCAAAGATTTATCCTGTTTCTTCCTTGACTTCTGTGATTAGGGCTTGACCAATAGCTTGGGTGTTTCTGTATGTAATAGAAGCAATAGTCAAGAATATGCTGTTAGCTCTAAGCTTTGGTACAGCTGTGTGAAATGAAATACAGTGTGGTAGGAGGGTAGTGCTTGGGTTTAGGGTCTGAATAGAACAGGAGACAGGTCATTGTTACTGATCTATGTTCTAGTATGTTTTCTGAGCTTTTCACTTAATCAGTAATTCTGTTTTTTTTCTTCACGGCAGGAAAGTAAAAGGAGGCAACATAGATGTGCATCCATCTGAGAAAGCCCTCATTGTCCACTATGAAGTGGAAGCAACAATTCTGGGAGAGATGGGAGACCCCATGCTGGGGGAGCGCAAAGAATGTCAGAAAATGTAAGGTCATAGCAAGTTCTGATAGCTTTTTCTGGTTTTCATAGAGTCATAAATTCAATAACTCAAAGCATCAACAGCCTGTAAGAAATAATATGTTCTAATCTTTATAAAACTTAGTGCTAGATTAGTAGAGGGTTTAGAAGCCAGGAAATAACATGTCCCTAGAAAAGTTAACATCTAAAAGACATGTTGTGAACTGCTTTTCATCCATGTACTTAAAGGTGTTTTGTAAAGAAGAGTGATTATTCCCATTTTACATGATGGAAACTTGAGGTAGAGAAAAGTGAAGTGATTGGTTCCTACTCAAATGATGGTTAATGTTGAAGCAAGTAATACTATGGAACCTTTTGAGAGCCTTATGCTCTAGCTGTTGGCTTTCCTGTTGTTTTGATCTGTCACCCATCCTAGGGATTTCACTATAGTATCTGCATTTTAGTTTTGCCTGGTATTTTTTTCAAGAGCATTAAAACATTCCCCATTGGAAAAGCCCAGAGAACTATCGTAACTTTAGTTTCCAGGCTGCAAGTCTGAACCTTTCCTAGGTTTGTTTTATCTCTATACTGAATCATTTTTGAAAATTTGAGCTGAAGTGGCTATCTGTGTGAGTGCATGTAAGAAGAATAATTGAGGAAGAAAAAGAGAATTCTTAAATTGTCTCAGATTTTTTAAGATATCAGAAATGTTCATCTGTTTTCAGATGAATCAGCATAACTTGCATCTGCAATGTGGTGGAATTCCTTTTTGATCCATCCTATTGTTAATGCCCACAGAGATTTCTTACTGCTTGTTGCTTGTGAACCTGGCTGCAGGTCTGCTAGAGCTATGGGAGACTCCTGACATTGCATCTGCAGGCTCTGCAAAATAACTTTCTTGTGTAGTCAACATCTATAGGTGTTTCTCATTTTGGATTTTTTTGTGTATGCGGTACGCCTTTGCAGTTGTGTGCACTTTTTTGGGTGTATTGCAAATAAATTACTGTCTGCTGTGTCTGAGATGATTATAAGGGATCTGTTCATACAGCTGCATTTGCTGTTGCTGCTTGTCAGCTGATGGGCAAGTTACGCTCTGTCAAATCTGTTTGACAGTTACTTGCCATTTGGAGTTGTAGAGAGCCACTGCTTTGACATTACCTTTGTAAGCCATGGCACAGGCATTGAGGGCATCAGGATCATTTCTGCTTCAAGAAATTCATGATCGTGTAAACACAAATCAAAGACTGAAGATACAAAAGTTTAAAAACTGAAGAGAGACCTGTCTGTGTTGCAGCATTCGGCTAAAGAGTCTTAATGCAAATACAGACATTGCTTCCCTGGCTCGAAAGGTGGTTGAAGAATGCAAGCTCATTCACCCCTCCAAACTTGCAGAAGTAGAACAGCTGTTGTACTACCTGCAGAATCGCAGAGATGCCTCAGCGGGAAAAGGTAAATAATCCAGGAACAAAGTAGCTTGGGACTGAGGTGCTTCAGCACTGAAAAACTACTGTGTGAGGTTTTTCTAGCTGAGGTCCTAACCTGCTGGATGTACGAGTTCTCCAGAGATAACTAGAGTGGGGAAGATGTATAGTTAAATCACACTTGGAAAAAATTACAATCTTGGAGCGAGATTGGGGGAATTATCTTTTTAACAACCAAAGTTTATTTTTTTTGGTTAGTTAAACCTCGTATTGATGCTTCTTACTGGCTGCCTTGTGCTTTAGCAGGACTTGAGAAGTACAGATTCCGCTATTTGGTGCAGCCTCTTCATAGTGCGTCTGCACTTGCAGTGACATCAAAAGACTGTATGAGGATCTTCCTAGAATGATCTCCATCATCACCTTTTGGAAGGGTAGATAGTGTTCATAGGCTGAATTTGCACTGTCTGTAAAGCTGGAGTGAGGAGTTTCAGAGCCTGACAAGCTGTGGTACAGTGTAGCAGACAGCTTGGGGTAATTCTTGTCGTCTTAAGTTCCTGGCATCTTGGTGGTCCTGTTTATGTCTTAAGTTCATCTTAAACTTTCTGCTCAGGGGACAGTTTCATATTCTACATCTGATCCTGCATTACCTCGTGGTTAGCAAGGTTTCTTGCAATCATGAAATGGTAAGCTTTGTTCTCAAGTTGGATTCTTACCTTAATGGGATGAGTTTAAAACAAAGATTAATATTATTTATGTGCTTTGATTGTAACTGCTTTGGGTGTTTTACCCTCTTTTATTCTGTATATGTGTGTCTTGGAGTATCACAGGGCATCTTTGCCACAGTGTACAAGCAGAATCAGAGCTGCTGGAGTATCTCACTGTGGAAGTGAGTTTTGTCACTCTGGGCTTGCACTAAGGTTTGTTACCCTCTGTCTCCCCAGCTGACTGGGCTGTAACTGATCATTTAGACTGAGGAGTCAAAAGGCATCTGAGGGTTTATTTTGCTCTGTGTGGGCTGTTCAGTGTCAGAAACCTGACATACCTTAGCTGTGTTAGTCTGACAGGTCAGCTGGACACAAGAGGACTTTGACCTTGATTTAACCAGAATGTTTACTATGAGAATAATGGGTATGTTTTTTGTCTGTGAATATGCATAACTTAACTGCAACCATGTCTTTTTCTTTATAGAAAAGAAAGAGAAATCCAGTAAGCCAAAAGATCCACCCCCATTTGAAGGAATGGAGGTAAGTATTGGTGTTCGAAGAGAAATGCAAACCCCATTTACTTCTTAAGTAAGCAGTTATATAAGGGAGGAGGGGAGAGGAAATGCTGAATTCTTGGGGTTTTTTGCTTCTTGTTTTTTAAACAAAGAACTTTGTTTGGAAATACTGCACAATGGAATAAAAATCATCTCCATAAAGGGTAAAATATTTGACTTTCATACTTCTCCCTCCAACTATAGCACGCAGCATGACAGCAAGTGAGGTCTGGAACATCGGACAGGACACAGGGAGTCGTGTCTGAGCATCCTTTGTTTTTTGTAATTAAATCTTCTCAGATTTCCTGGTGTTCATTGGCACTGATTCTGGATGTGTTGAATTTTTTTTTTCCTTGTATTTTATTTTTTCCTAAGATCTTAACTCAAAGCTATGCACTCTTTTGTCTTGCGATTGAATAACATTGTGATTGATTGTGTCGAATTGACATCTCTCTCTCTGTGAAACTCTTGCTTATGACTGCTTTCAGATCGATGAGGTTGCCAACATCAATGACATGGATGAGTACATTGAGTTACTGTATGAGGACATTCCTGACAAGGTGCGCGGCTCTGCCCTCATCCTGCAGCTGGCTAGGAATCCTGATAATTTGGAAGAACTGCTTATCAATGGTAATTTTAAAACCGAATGGTAGCTTCTTTTAGTGTTGTGCTGTTTATCTGTGGTGCTTTCTTCTCAAGGGAAAAGTAATTCACCTTTAATTTGGGATTTTCTGCAGTTTGCTAGCCTTTGCTTCTCAGTACAAAATAAGCTGGCTGTCAAAGCCCAGTTGGATCTCTCTACAAATGGATGCTTGTTAGACTGTTTTTAGGTGGGTCTAACACAGCAATCTGTTTTTTCTGATCCTGGTTACTTTGATGCTAAATTAACTTCAGTTGGCATTGCTCCTGGAGACAAGATAATGTTGAGTTGTATCCTGAAGATCAGGAAACTTGCTTTGAAAATGGGATTTGCAGGCTGACATAAATATAGGTGTCCAGTTTCTAAGAGAATTAATAAATTGAATGTGGATGCATCACCAAAGTATTTCACTTGCACACCATACTCTTTTTGCTTATGGATCCATTTAAAAATCTTATTAGAATGCATGATAGGACATTCGCATTACTGTGATTTTGTGTCTGCATACAGATGTGCAGTGCCATGTGCATATTGAGAGCTACATCAGTGCGGAATAGGGTGTGTTTGTAAATATGTATGTGTACACGCATATACATTCGCATTTCCCATTGCTCCCTCTCTTCTGGGGGGAAGAAAGGACCTTATAGTCTGTAAAGGTGTCAGACAAAAGATAAGGGCAATCCAAACCAGACCTCCAAAGTGATGGTAGGTTCATATCTTGTTAATTTAGTAATTTTTTTCCTTACCCGCTTTGTCTCTTTTACTGAGCCCTTATACCCCCACATTCCTCGAGTAAATGATGAACTTCAGTATGTACTCTACCCATCCTGCGATGTCAGCAAGCGAGATTACTGTAAGAATTGGTATGGGAGGGGAATGGTAAGCCATCAAATAACGGTTTGTCTCCATGAGTTGTTGTGAATATTTTTGTGCTTGAAATTGCCAATTGCTGCTTTTCTTGTTCTGATCATGCAACATAGTGTATGTAAGAGGGACTAGATAGGGGAAAGTGAATGGAAAAGATAAGTGATTCAGAGAGGAATAGTAAGCTGAAGTATGACAAGAAGAAATATAAACCAAGTTAAATAATACAGAGTTGCTATGGAGGGGGAAATAAATGTAAAGAAGGGGATGAAAAATGATAGTTGTCAAGGTAGAATTTAAAGTGGATTTGGAAGTGAAAGTGGTGATGTTTTATGTAGGGGCCACAGTGTAGCATGGAACATACAGCTGGCAGAGGCCACAAGATCTTAAGGTTAGTGGTAGTTTTAAGATGACCTTAGTGTTTGGTTGCAGTTTCCTTGCATGTAGCCTCTTCTTAGGGTTTGTGACTGGATGATCACCCAGGGTACTCTCTATTTTCATACCATCTCCAAAGAGAACTTGTGAGCAGTGTTAGATGTTAAAGTGTGATACCTCTGAAAATCTTCCACTAGAAAACTGATAGATATAGAATAAGTTGTATTCAAATTCTGAGTCTCACGAGACAAAAGGAGGTGGAATGCTGATGCTCATCTAAATCTTGTTTCACTTCAGAAACTGCCCTGGGTGCATTGGCTAGAGTGCTGAGGGAAGACTGGAAACAAAGTGTGGAACTTGCTACCAATATAATTTATATTTTCTTCTGCTTTTCAAGGTGAGTGCAGAGTCCCTGTGTATAGGGACATAAGGAACTTCTCTCTGCTTAGAGGCTTTTCATTTGTTTTCTGCGCTGCACTACAAAACCTCACTGAAACAGGAAAAAAATTTCCTGAGGCGGAAACACGTGTGTTATAAATGACAAAATGGAGGCACAAAAAGAACCCCATGCTGAGGCAGTGTGTAGTCGAGCTGGCAAGAAGCTAGTAAGGATTCTGACCCATAGCTTATGGGCTGAGCTGCCACCTTTTATTTCCCTCAGCATTCCTACAGGGAAGAAATGTTATTCAAAACCAAAGTGAGTGCTTGCTTTTATTTAGATATGCCAGTGTTCCAGCATACCCTGCCTAGAAATAATTCAAATGGAATTTGCATTGCAACTTGATTTTAGACCTCTCTTATTTCTGCTGAGTAGAAGGTCCTCTGAAGCACTTATAATATGAAAAGCATGGCTGATTGGAAAACATTTTCCTTTACGCATGAAAAATGGGAATGTGTTTTTATTTTGACTTGGAACAACAAATTGTTGCTTGTCCTTCTACAAGTTTGGAAAAAATATTTGTGTTTTCAGGAATTGTTTTTGTTTTGAAATAATTTTCCAATTGAGAAGTGTTATAATGGGGCACAGAGCAAATACCTGTTTTTAATACTTCATGTGGTGCAGTGTTGGGATGTTGCTACCATAGATGTCAAAACAGATTTGGGGTGGTTTGCACTTATTTTTTTTCCTCACAGGTGTTTTTTCTTCAATGTAGTTTTTCTCAATTTCATGGAATAATCACACACTACAAAATTGGAGCTCTGTGTATGAATATCATAGACCATGAACTGAAGAGACATGAGCTTTGGCAGGAAGAACTTGCTAAAAAGAAGAAAGCTGATATCCTTTTGATATGCTGGGACAGCTTGATGGCTTCTGACTTGTCTTCATAGCTGTTGCTGAGTTATACGAGATGAGTGCACAGCAACTTCTGTGAAAGCAGTAGAATTTACTAGAAAGTGCAAAATACAATTGCAGATATGAAGAAGACCAAGAGTGATAAGTTTGGGCTGCTGAAGAGATTAAGCTGAAGTTACTAAAACAACACAAGAAAAAAAGTTTTATTCTATCAGCACTATGTCTTAGGAACATTTTTGCTGACTATTAGGATGTAATACATCCAGGACTAGGAGGAGGAAAAAAAAAATGATGCTGTAGATTACAGGTGTAGCAAGCTGTTGCTGAGGAAGTGTCTTTATACTGGCTATTCCATAGATCTCTTGCTTTTTACTAGTGATTGAATAACACCTTTGAAGACAATAGTCATCTAGACTGTATAACTTTTATCTGAACTCCTTAACTTTGGCAATTTACTTGATGAAGATCCTGACAATCAAACCCTGAAAAAGGACTATGAGAAAACTTACAAGAAATATCAAGGGCTGGTTGTCAAGCAGGAACAGCTACTCAGAGGTACCAAATCCAAATATCAAATTATTTCCTTGTTGGTGAACGTGGGTAGAGGGTTATATTGGATGCTTGTTATAACTGGGATGTCTTAAACATACTGAATGTGTGGATGAATATGGAAGAGCGTTGCCAAAGAACAGGGAGAAGATGAGTACTTAATCAGATTGTTTGACAGTATACTAACACTTTTAAAAGTCATCTGTCAGTCTTAGAGGAAAAATAGCAAAAGTGATCCACTTAACTTTTCTTTGCTCATGATGTTGGTTTGGGAGGAGTTGGGTATTTTGGTTTTGTACATTTGATTTGGTTTTTTTTTTTTTAACTTAGTCTAACTTAGCCTGTATCTGACTGAGGCTGAATAGCTTTCACTCTATCTCAGTTTTTGTACTAAAATACACTTAATGTTAGATTGAAATGATCTGAGTGGCAAAGCTTTTCCGGGAAGGGCTTTTTAATGGTTCCCATTGGAACTGAAAGAAAAAAAAATACAAAAATCTTCTAGTGATCATAATTTTTTTGTTTTTTTTCAAGGCCACTATTAGAATTAATCTTCTTAATGCTTCCTAAACAGGAATAAAAAGCATTCATGGTCAGTTTCCTTCAAAATGCCTTGGGAAGGGAGTGGAATGCTTCTGAAAGTCTTGTCTGAAGCATGTAATGTGTATATAGAGACTTGTTTAATTTGCTTGTCTTTGATCTGTTGGTATGATTTGTATTGGCCTTTGTTAGTTGCACTTTACCTGCTCCTAAATCTTGCTGAGGATACTCGCACTGAGCTGAAGATGAGAAACAAGAACATTGTTCATATGTTAGTGAAAGCGCTGGACCGTGATAATTTTGAGCTGCTTATCCTGGTTGTATCTTTCTTGAAGAAACTCAGCATTTTTATGGAGAACAAAAATGATATGGTAAGGCTTATAGCATTCTGCAATATTGGAAAGGTATGGACTCTGAAAACTTTGTGTGGTTGAAGGGAAGAGGGAGACATCTCTATCCCCACCCTAAATATCCGTAGCACTGATTATCCTATTTGTTACTAGTAAAATGAGTACAAGAAAAGTACAACATCCTGCCATAACATACTGCAAAAATTTTTGAAGAACTGTCATCCCAAACAGTGAAGCTACCTCAAAACACGATACATGAAATTCCAAATTTTGAAGTCAGTATCCCAAAGTCTTGTCATACCCCCACTTCTGGAGATGCCTATGACCCTGCCCCTAAACTAGACTCTTTTTGACAACATATTATTGACTCTGCGGTGTATTGTCTTGGAAAGAGAGGTAGTTATCCTTTTGCAGTTTGCTAGTTTTCTTATTTCCTAGGTCAGCTTGGTCTTCAAAGGCACCTCATAAAGTGTTCCTTTGTGCTGCCAGTAGCTCTTAAGAACTGGAGGCAGTGTTATTCTTCATAAGCTTTTTTTTTAGGTGAACTCTCAAACTTCTGAAATTGTAGCATATTTTTTTGTGACTTTAGGTCTCTAGCCAAGTATCTCTTTTACTGATTTCCCAATGGCTTTTAGTAGATACAGGCCTTCACTTCTGTGCCTTATGCCAGTTTGTTAAATGAAAATGATAAATTTTCCTTATCCAAGAGGTAATCAGAGATTGATGTTACACTTAGATTGTGAGATGAAAAGATGCAATAGAAAATTAATTGCATCTTTGTTACTGGAACTGTCATTTGCATGCATATGCACTGAACACTGCAGACTAGGTATCTCCCTTATTTATGTATGGGTATCCTATTTCTTAACAAAAGTCAGACACCAAGCATGCGTTTTTGGGGGAATGTAGACTGTTTATTAGGTGATTGGTCATTGATTTAGTTTATACTTGTGTAGTGCCCTGAAGGACTTTATTAGGAAAATAAGGATTAGCTCTCCAGCCCACTGATTTGCTGGCACACTTTCCACATTCCATTTGATTTAGTGGAAAGACAAATGAAACAAAATTGTTGAATTTATTTTATTGCAGAGTCTTTTAACAGTTTTGAAAAGACTTTTGAAAAGGTTTGTATGCTTCAAGTCAGCTGTCTGTTTGAGCATTTCTTACTGATGATACTTTTTTCTCCACAGTATTATTAAGGAAAGCTACCAATGAAGGAGAAGGTGTTCTAATATTTATATCAGGCGATAACACAAAAATGTCAAAAGCAAAATGAACCAAGATTAGTTGTTCAATGCCTGATTCTAAGTAAAACTGAATAATCCACGTATATTTATAGCACATTCTTTCCTTTGGTATTCAAGTGCCGTATTAAATTCAAAGCAGTGAAGTAGGAGTTCTTGCTATCTGATTGGTTTTCATCAAAGGTATCCAGTCAGTTGTTTGATTATTGCACTATGCCGTGTGGGGAGAGCTGTAGTTTCTTTTCTTAGTATTCATTCAGTGTGTATTTATAACTGGAAGGCTAGTTATATACATGCAAAAGTTTGAAGAATGCAAAGTAATTTCATGTGCCTCCTTCTGGTCAAAGAAGGTTCTGGGAAACAAAAAAATGAATGCATTTAAAAGATTGTGTCAAATAAAAGCAGAGAAATGTTGCTTAGAAGAGGATAAAAACTTTCTGAAGTCTTGCCAGTCAACGCTCAGTTGTCTTTTCTGGCTGGTAAAGTGAACATGATCTCAGGAACTGATACCACTTCTCAGTTCCTGGATTCCACTTTTTAATTTGAAAGTGATACGTGTTTCAAAATGACTTTCATGCTTTTACTAAATTAATGTACAGGACAGCATGCCTCTTCTGAGAGCACATGCAAAGTTCTGTCTAGGGGTTCATTTGAAATTCATAATGAAGGGTCTCAAATTCTTTTTGGATGCCAATTTTCTGTCTGTCTTGGTTGGGTATCTCTTTGACTCTAATGTCAGTTGCTCCAGAGTTGCTTGTGTTTAAGTTTAAATGAGTTCCCCCTCCTCAATCTAGTCTTGCAAGTGATGTCTTGACCACATTCTTGCAGTTTTCCAACTGTGAGGAATATTTCCAAGACATCTGAACTCTTAGGTTCAAAAACTTTTTTCATCAACATTACCCAGTAACCCAATCTGGAAGACTTCAACCACAAAGACATAAGCAAAGCTGCTTCAGATGAAAACGCACTGATAGTCACTATTACAGGTACAAATTGAATATGTATTTGGATGTGTGTATGTGTAATACATAACACACTGAAAGGGCTTTTAAATTGAAGACAAAGCTAAGTTTGGATGGGTATGGATTTTTCTTTTTCTTGATCTACAGGTTGAAATGGATATTGTTGAAAAACTTGTGAAAATGGTACCCTGTGAACATGAAGACCTGCTGAACATCACTCTTCGACTCTTACTAAATCTCTCCTTTGACACAGGCCTGAGAAATAAAATGGTACAAGTTGGTCTGCTTCCCAAACTCACTGCACTTCTAGGTATGGGTTTTTTGATCTTTTTAGCAGGGACAGTGCAGCTGTTTGCATCATGATATAGTGTGCCTAAAAGTTGCTATGTCACTTTTCTCTTTGCCAAAGAACTTCCTGACTACTCCCAACTTTTTATCATTCAAGTAATCTTTTCAGATGCAGGTTTAAATGGAAGTTTAAAATAATGTGGTTCCCAGTAGGCTTATTCTTAGGTTCTCTTAAACTGTTGAATGAGTCTTCTGGTCTTTAAAAATTAACTTTGATAGCTACCTGAAAACCATGGAAGCTGACACATGGGTGATGCTTGTAATTTTGGGGGAGCACCTAGGAAAAATAGCCATCAACTTTGTGGAGCTTAGCTGATGGAGATACCAACTACCTCTTTTTTTTTTTTTGTTTTTTTGTGAAGCTTGATATACCTGCTGCCTCTTAATGTTCCAGATAGAGAGATCAGAAATTTCCCGGCTTTGTCAGCTTCAACTCTAGGCAGTACTGATTTTTAGACTTTCAGTTTGACAGTCTGTAACTTTTGAGTACTTCAGATACAAGTGAAACTTTTTGTTGTCCATAGGGGAAAGCCATGGAAACAATGAGGAGCTGGGGAAAAAACAGGATTGTCTGATATGATCATTGTTGTGCCCTGGAGCTCTCAGGAGAGAGTTTTTATTGCTCCTTGTATGTTCTTTGGCTGATACTATCTAGAGGCCTCTCTGGTAGATATACTAAATGTTTAGCAGGATTTGGCCATAGGAATTGCTGAGTGCTTATTTTTAAGTGAGAGTTGAGGATCTTGTACTGTGGAGCCCTAAATGTGTGAAACACTGATGCAAGACATTGTTAAAGTTTTGAGATATGTTCAGTTTGGGATGTACTAAATCCAGTGCAGCCGGTGTATCCAGATGTGATTGGAACAAGTGGAATGCAACTGTGAATCTATGAGCTTTCTCTCCTAGCTTTGTATAGTCTCTTAGGTTTGTTTGCCTTCTCAGTTTTAGATTCAAACTCAACATGGCCATATTGATGTTTAGTATCCAAGTTAATACCACGAAAACTTACACGGCTTTGGAAGCCTTAATTCTGTCGGTGATTAATATAACAGCTACCTGATATATCCTGAAATGCCTCAGATTTTCTTATGCTCTCTGCCCCACAACCATGTTTGCACTTGATATATTTCTCTGGGCTGAGCTAGGAGGAAGAAGAAAAACGGCATTTGGAATCCCTCTTCTTTATACTTTTTTTTGTCCTCAAGACAGTGTTATTTGGCAGTAAACTGAGAAGTGGAAGCTGTTCAGGAAATATATTTTCTCTCGTTTGAGAGAGGATCTGGCTAGGTAGTCTGGTTCAGCTTGGATTGTAAGCTTTTTGGAGCAGGAACTTGTCTTTTTATTTTATGTGTACAGCAGCTAGCGCTGTGGTCTAAGGCTGTTGTTTCTTGGTGCTTGTTACCCCAAGCAATGGCGTGACACAGATCTGAGAAGTCCCTGCTCCCAGAAATTCCCCATTTAATATTAGAGTCAGACTAAACTCATCGGTTAAATATCTGCTTTCTAGTGTCTGATTCTAATGTGGAGAGGAGAATTTATTTTCAAATGCCATTCTCTTGGACTTGTAAGTAGACCTGTGCAGAAGGCTGTTTAGCCTTCTCAGAAGAACTGGCTGCTAAAATTGCAGTCTGTTCCTGAAGTGGCTGTTAGGGTAATCTACAGTAAGTTATTCTAGTACTTTCAGAAGCTTCACTGTCTGTATGCCTCCATGGGTGATTCTTCTTTCCTTGACTTGGCAGTGTTTGACTTTTTTTTTTTGCATAGAGGCATGTCCTGTTTGCCCTCCCTGTGGAACTGCTTGATACTTATTTTGTAGTGTGCTGGTTAGAAAATGTAGGTAGAAATATTGTCTATTACTTGTTTCTTAGGCCAGCTCTGTGATTCGTGAGATTCTTCTTGGTATGGTGATTCAAATAATTCTTAAATACATCACTTTGTGTATCCTGTCTCGGGGAAGCCTGCAACCTTAATAATAAAATAATCATGTGCCAGATGCCCCTCTTATACTTGTGTATTAAACGCACATTATTCAAGTCAGTACCCTTCGGCTTGCATTTGCAGGTCACCTTAAAGTGCTAACACACCTCAACAGCTGTTGACAAGTTACCATACAGCTCCTAATGCCAAGAGGTCAAGTTTGTTGACTCAGCCTACTGAAACTTACCATTTGTGCATGCTGTGCCTTTGAGTCTTTAGCACTGGGTTTGAGATGAGTATAAATTAAGTGTAGTAGGTGTTTGAGGGGAGAGTTGAGATTGCAAAGAATTAAAGGACAGGATTTGTCAGGCAGCTCTTTAGGGCTGATCACTGAGGTGGCTGCAGTCTGTGGTTCTGGAAGACATGCTGCTTTCCCAAGGGACACTTAGTGGCTTGGGAGCAGGAAGGCTCTAAATGTAGGTGGAGGCTGGAACTGGAGGGGATGGACTGGCTTCAGCTGACCTATCAAGAATGGACTAAGTACAGCATGGACATATTGGAGAAGGACCATCTTCTTTCTTTTCCTCTCACTCCAGAGTGTTGAGGCTGCTGTTGAAAGCGTGGACATGAGAAATTCTGCTTAGGCTTGGTTTCCATTTTAATTAGCCTTTTCTTTTTTAATAGTGCCAGTGCTTGCTTCCCCATGTAGCTTTGCCAGTCAACACCACTTGCTAGTTTTCGTGGCTTCTCTTCATAAGTCTGAAGTATTGTATATGACAAGATTTCTCTTGCTCCCTCCAGACACCCAAGCTAATCAACTACAGCTGATCTTTGTTATGCTCTGAATCTCAAAGAACTGGGTGCAGTTGAGGGAAATTTGGCTTCAGACTTGAGATCAGAAGCTGGAGCAGAGCTGTGGAAGCCTGTGAGATATAATCTGCTGTATTTAGGTTTTTCCCTACACAAGCTGCTTAAAGAGGTATGAAAAGGTATTTTGCTGATTTGTGTGACTTTAGTTCTTTAAGAAAACCTTATAATTGTTGAGTCACCAGGGGCTTGTGGAGAATGTTTTTTGTACTGGTGGCTTTCCTTTAATACTTAGAAATTATATTTACAGAGTGATCTTTCTTTTTTTATATACATTCCCTGCATGAATGCTTTATGTGCCTGTATATGTGAAGTATGGCTTCAGAGGATTAAGGTGAGAATTCATGTGAATTCACCAAGTGGTTTAAACTAGACATGTGCCCAAAATGTGGAAAACACAGATTCAGTGCCCTCTAATCATGATCTTGGAAGGAGAGACCAAAGCAGCATGCTATAGACTATTCTGTGGAGGTTTGCTTCACTCCTATAGTGCTCTCGTTTTGCTTTGCAGGGCATAATTCAAGTGAAGTGAAATAGAGGAGTGACTGGCTCCAAATGCAGTAGAGTTTGGTGGTTAGCGTGTTCCCTTGTGGAAAGTATTCTCGCTGAAAGGGGTAAATGTAGAGCTGAACTTTATGAGAACGGATTCACATCCTTCCTTTATCCCTGGGAATGGTCTTCCACTGTTGGACAGAAGGGAAATGCTACCCTTTTTCATAATTCTTCCCCTGGATGTGTGATTGGTTTGTGAAGTAAATGCCCTGGCAGCAAACAGAAGAAAACATTGTCTACAAGGAAGAATAAAAAAACCTCACTTCTAGTTTGGACCAAATCCACTTTGTTTTTCAGTTAACTGTCCAAACCAAATACAAAATTTTGGTACAGCTCTCTTAAATATATGCACAGCTTGTGATTCACATTCTTCTAATAAGGGTGCTATTTTGTGCTGTGTCTGAGCGGTTTTTTAGCCTTTGTGAAGGGAGACAAATAGTTCTCCATTCTCCATGAGAACAGCAGGCAGTTTGTATAGCAGAACCAGCTGAGTGCTGCTGTGTATTATGGCAGGCTGCAAACTCTTCTTGGTGGACCCCTGTTCAGAAGGAGCTCCTGGCAGTCTGTGGATGTGGCAGGCAGTACTGGGGGTGTCTGTGTCCACCCATGAGTTAGTTACTCCTCTCAAAAGGATATAAATGATAGGGAATGGTGCAAAAGCTGTTACAGTGGGAACTGTGCTGCTGCTCAATGGGTAAAAGGCATAGGTCTGGCTGCATACAGGAAGCAAACTTTTTTTTGTATGATGTGTGCATTCATCCCTTTGAGCTGCTGAACAGTTCTTAGGTGTACTGAATGCATATTGTCTTGAAATACCATTTTCTTTCATTCACTTGCCAGTGCAAGCCGTGCTTAAAGAATGAAAACCCATTATGCTTGGAAGTCAGACTAAAGTGCCTCTTCTTGGTTGCTCGAAATTACTAGCTGCTTTTAAAAATCAAGGACTGATTGAACACAGGTGGGTGGGTCACAAAACTGTACCAGTTGCAAATCGGACCCAAATGGGACATGCGGTGCAGAAGGTTGTGCATATGGCTGTGAGTGTTACACAGTGCCAAGGTGTTCAATCTCAAAAAGATTTTAGGTGGTGATGAACATCTTGGGTTATGTTTTCCACTACAGATTATAGTGACTGAAAGAAAACTGGCTTTGTGGATTTGTGTTCAGCCAAGTAGATGAGCATTTGTTATACAACGCTCTGAAACACAGTGTGATCAGTACCAAGTAGCAATAGTAGAGTTTTGCCAGTCGCAGTATGTATCAAGCCTATTTGCCTTATTAATGTGAGCATCGTGGCCTGATGTTCTTAATTTCGTAGTGTTCCAAGACTTAGTGTCAGTACACTGAGAAGTAGTAGCCACTTGATCTTACATAGAAGTCTAGTGGCTGTGCAGTAGTTTGCAAACTCCAAAGTAGGTCAGACTTTTCTATTATGAGTTCTTTATTTAAGCTGGAGATAGCCAGAGCAGAAAGTAACTTTGACAAGCCTGATTTAGTCCTCACTGAAGAGTCTGTCTTCACTAGGTTCATTGATAGATAATAAAATTCTAAAAAATTCTAAAATCTTTTCTGGAAACTGCTGAAATTCCACTGATATTTTTCCATTTCTTACGAGTTAGGTTTAAT